AGTAACACCTCGCGTTTGCTCAACAAAAATACGAAGAAAAAAAATTGTCATTAAATCATCTTAGATCAATGTTAAGAGCTTTTCTTGCATAGTTAATCCAACCTGTTGTAAAAAGTCAAAAAATAGTAACTGCTATAAAGTATTCACTTCGCCACTGAACTTCCATTCCTTCCAGCAATCAAAGTAGAACTATCCACATGAATAAGCTCAGGATTCCTCGCATATTTCTCGAGAATGGCGAGAACCTGTGCAAATGTCGGCCGCTCGTGTCGGTCTAGTCGCCAACACCACAGCATGAGCCGATGTAGTGCCAAAGGGCAGTCCATTGGAGCTGGTAAACGATATCCGAGCATGACCTCACTAATGACCTACAAGTTAAAACCTGAGTGCAACGACTGGAAAAAAACACATGTTTACTGATGCTGAATTATAAGTTTTAAATCAAAGCGACTTCGCAGTTAATATAACGAAATAAAATATGAACGAAGGAGAGACACATGAAACAAAAAAGAAGCAAGATAAGACTAAAAACGTTAGCAAATAGAAAAAGTTTCAACGTTTAATTTAATATGCGTAGAGTGACTCGGAGGGCGCTTGTAGAGCAGTGGTCGGAGGCGCCCTACAGTACACATGGAATCGATCCCGGCACCCAAGGCTCGCCAAGCCTTCCAACCCTCCGGAGTCAGCGAGTTGGTACCAGACTTTTCTGGGAGGATAACAGCATTGGCTCGATACATCAGCAGGACATCGCAAGTCATTGTAAAGGGTAGATAGGCATCCAATCGATTCCAAGAATGCTTAACGAAGTAGAATACATCGCGCATCCCTAAGGGATTGATCAACGCCGAGAGCTTTACGCTTTATTATTTTTGGAATAACTCAAGATAACAGGGGACTTTGCTTCAGCAATTGTGCATCAGCGAGTTCATGTCAAGTCCATTTCCCGAGTTCTTCAGATCTATCGAACACTTGAAGGTGTTCCAAAATCGTTGGTTCCCAATTGCAGATTTTCTCTACACTATTGTACTACTTCGCCATTAGGAGACTGTTACAATACTACTCTTACGATTTCCACAACAACACTTCGGAAATATGCGATACAATGATATATTAGGAAACTCGTAAGAAGACTTCGAATTATGACATTCTTCTCAGAAATAGAAGAAACCTTCCATGTAGTGTAACAAGTGCACATATACCTTCTGATTTGTCCAATCCCAATACGGTCTTTCACCAAATGAACAAGTTTCCCAAACTAGAACACCAAAGCTCCAAACGTCTGACGCTGCCGTAAATTTACGATGAGTGATTGCTTCTGGTGATGTCCAACGTACAGGAATCTGAAAGAAATCTGTTTTTAAGGATAACTTCAAGAAGTGTAGCGTTTTTCTACCTAGCACAACGCAGTGGTGTGATGCATAGTGCGAATAAAGCAATTTTAGGTTGATATGCTCACTTTACCACCATTCGTCGTGTACTCCTGTTCTGCAGAATCATCAACCCCACGAGAGAGGCCAAAATCAGCTATTTTACAGTTCAACTCCGAGTCGACCAATACATTTCGGGCAGCGAGATCCTAAAAAAACAATTGTGTTCCGAAAGTTACAGTTCACAAGAAAACTTCCACTGTCAAAAACTCACACGATGAACGTATCCTTTATCGGTTAAATATTTCATGCCTGCTGCTATTCCTCTTAACATTTCTACGATCCGAGGCCAACCAATTTCCTCTCCACGAGCATCTTTGCTGCGAAGCAAGAAGTCCAGCGAACCATTTGACATAAATTCAGTAACTAAATGAAAAATTATAAAGTGGTTTTCAAAAAGCAATCACAAGTGCTTGGTTGAAAAATTTATCATAATAAGTTATTCTATCTCATGTCTTAGAAGCCGACTTTACATGGATTTCTACGACTTAACTAAAGAAAAAGCCCTAACCTATCATAACTGGCTCCGATCGAGTAACAACACCGATCAAGCGAATTACATTTTGGTGAGCAAATTGGCCCATAATTGAGGCCTCCAATAAGAAGTCTGCCTTCGCTTTTGAGGTGCTACCAGGCTTTAGCGTTTTGATTGCCACAACATCGACCTGTAAAATGAAAAACTGTTGCTTTTGGATGTAGTCACCTGTTACAACAATAGTTACATTGTGATTGAATTCTCTAAAACTGGTTCTATAACCTACTTCATTATCAAAAATACTGTTTGCGATACCACCGCCAATCATGTTCCTCTTCAGACCGCCCTTGCAGACATCACCAAATTCACCACCACCAATCACTTCTGTTATAAACACAGCAGCAGGATCAATGTCGAAAGTGAATTCCACCAACGCCTGTAGAAGCCTTATTTGTTACAGAAGTTCGTTAAAGATTAAACCGCACCTACGGCCTAGTTTTTGCAAACTTAAAGATTTAACGTGTCAGGTAATGTACGTTCTACTTATACTCAACATTCCCAAAAACGCATATTTTACTTTTATAAGTATATTCCTATAAATGAATAACATGAAAAAGGAATAAAACGTTTTTACTAAGAGAACTGAACAGACCATACCGAGAATTATTTGCATTATGCAGTTAAATTTGCAATATTCCTCTACACAAAACCATAAAAACGGAAAACGTAAAATGGTTAAAAAATGGTAATATGGTGGATAGCACAGTGATAGGTGACGCCGGTCATCACGAACATGGTTCGATTCCGCTCCGGCGCCAACCAAGCCTCTCATACCTCCGGGTTCAGCAAATTGGCACCCGATTTGTCCGGGAAAAAACAACTCTCTGTAGCCCAACTGGTAACGCTCCAGCCCGGCTATCTCAGAACTCTAGGGAGAAATGACTCGAAAAGCATTCTGCGGCATTCAAGATAAAATGAAAATCTTTATACAGTTGCCGAAGCCACACGTAAAATTTGGAAGATCTCCGCGGATAATCGATGCGAGGAAACGAATAGAATGTGAGAAGTGCTAGGATCACCACAGAAGACGTGAAGACGTGTTATCACCTTTATCACCAGTAGTCCGTTTAATGTCGAAAACATCGAGTTGGGGCCAGTAAATCTTCCATTTCTCCCGTCGCATGCAAGAGTAACCCAATGGGTTCACCCTGCTCTAGGCGCTTGTTCAACATCATATCTTTTTTCTAGGCTTTTCGTGAAAAACTCTGACAATCGGTTCAGTGGTCTTGCTGCAGCGCATTTGACATCCCGAAGAATCCAGTCACTAACAGCTCTTGTCCATCGGTTGTCATTCATACGCATTACGCGTCCGGCCCACCTTATCTCCGACTGTTTAGTGTACAGAACGGCATCTTTGAATTTTGATCGTTGACGCAGGTCGCAGCTTGGGATCCCTTCCACTACTAGCGCTACACGGGATATTCCCAGCATCGTCCTTTCGACTGCGCGTTCAATAACGCTAAGTCATTTTTCATTCTATTTACACAGCGACCAGGTCTCCGACGAATACGTTAACGCATGAAGTACCATTGAGTCGAAAAGGTGGGCACGTCGCCGGGTGTTCTTTCTTCTCCTCACTACATCCTCGATGCTCTTGAATGCACCCCAAGTCGCTCGTTTCCTTCTGCTCAACTTTGCAGCTAAGTCGTTCATCATATTGACTTCCCTACCTAGACAGATATAACTAGAGCATTCGATGACACTCGTTCCGTTGAGCGTGAATGGGACATATGAAACCAATCCGTTCTCCATGAACATCGTTTTTGTGAGATTTAGTCGAAGACCAATCTTTCCACAGGCTTTATTAAAGTCGTCAAGCATTCGTTCCGCTTGGCTAATGTATGGTGCTATAAGGACGATATCATCAGCAAAGCGAAAATGATGTAAGTGCCGACCATGGATTTTCACTCCCATATGATCACATTCCAATGTTCGTATAACGCTCTCGAGGGTGGTGGTAAATAATTTTGAGGAGATGGTATCGCCATGCCTAACCTCTCTTTTGACGTCAATACTAATATTGTTGTAGAATAGTGATATCTTCGTTGTGAAATTTTCGTACAGCTCACGAAGATTCTTTATTTACTGAGTAGGGACTCCTTGACTATCAACGGCTGAGTGCTTCTGTCTCAGTTGAGTCAAAGGCCTTCTGTAAATCGACGAAAGTGAGACAGAGCGGTCTTTTGTACTCTTGCGATACTTCGATGAGTCTTGTTATCGTGTAGATGTGGTCCAACACACGAAATCCTTCTCGAAACTCTGCTTGCTCACACGGCTGTCCTTCGTCCAGTGTTCTGTTAATCCTGTTTAGGATGACTCGAGTGAAAAGTTCTTAGACAACAGACAGCAAGCAGATTAAGGCGATAGTTGCCGATATCGTGTAAGTCACCCTTTAACACGGTCATGCTGGTCTTCCACTGAGTAGGGACCTCGCATTCAGACAGGTAACGTGTGAATAGCCGAGCCAGTGTGTTTACGAGGACTGATGGAAGGTTCATCAGGTGTTTTGGTCTTATCCTATCCGGACCTGGTGCTGTTCCATTTTTCACTGAAGAAATGGCATGTCGATTTAGGAAGGTAGAACCAGTGGTACATATCCATCCTCCTTTATTTCATATGACGGAAGGTGAACGTGGCTATCGAAGAGATCCGAGGAGTATTCGTGAATGATTTTCTCCATTGCCTTTCTGGACGCTGTAACTGTTCCATCTGGGCGACGGAGTGCAGTCATTTTGGTCTTGTAGTTGGCGAAGCTTCGGTGTGCTTTACATATGCTTTTCCCAGCCTCTGCAGCTTCGACCATTAGTGTTGATCTTCTCTCTTTAAGAACTTCTTTTATCGTTTGTCCGCACCGTTTTGCAAGTTCGGACGTCAGTTCGCGGTTGTCTGCAGCTCGTGCGATTCCACGCTGGCGTACCAGCTCGAGGTTCTGGAGACAGACGTCTCTTAGTGACTTTCGAACTCTCAGCTTTCATGGAAGTAACGTGAAGATGTTGAATGAACCGATCGTATTCCTTGTCGATGTTATCGACAACGGTATCTCCCCAACAGACGACTAATGAATTGAATAAATCCCAGTTTACAGTAGTTTAGGGTCTTCGCTTTTTGAATTTAACGGCTTTTTCTGCTTTCTGCAAAAAACTAAATCTTGTATGAAGGACGCGGTGGTCTGAACCCGTGTAGAATTTTGGGACTACAGCGATATCGGGCTTTTTTTTGGAGTGGCGAGTTACCATGGATGGTCTTGGTCGTGATGATAAACTCGGAGAGCCGTTCACCCTATTCCTTCCATTCTAATCCGTGGATTCCGATGTGACGTTCTTCTTGGTTCAATATTGGCATTAAAATCTCCAATGATGACCTTGAAGAGAATGTATGACCTTCTCTGTAGGACTTCTCGAAGTTCATATAGAAGAATTCGACTTCTTCGTTATAGTTTGATAGCGGTGCGTAAACGACGAAGATTGTCAAAGCCGGTATTGATCCACATCTTTTTAATCGTAAACGTCCGATTCGTGCTGTAAATTGTTCGAATGAATCGATGTTCGTGGACGAACTCTTGTTGACGAAAACGCTGACGCTTCCGACTCCTCTACTGTCACATGTTCCGGGAAACATTTCCTCTCCGGTATTATAGACGGCGTTGAATGGGTGGCGTCGTCTCGCTTCGGATGTGTCGACGACGTCGCACCTTATTTTTCTCGCTTGCATGAGCAAGTCCTCTATCGAGGGCTCGGAAACAAGTGTAGGTGCATTGTAGGGACAGATCATCACCATAGTTCTTTGTAATACAAGCAGCTTCCACTGGTCCTGAGATTTGAGCAGCCTCTCCGTACTCGTCCTACCCAACGCTGCCGAATTGGGGGCTTTTTTGCGGTCAGGGGAAAGAGGCCCGTTTCTCCTACTGTTTTAGTACTTTAGTACCCACGTAGGCTAACTTGCTGGTCTCTGAACGTGGAGGCTGGGTATGCTCACGGATAGCTAGCCAGGCTCTCCCAGAGTGGACATGAGGCTTATTTGCTGGAGGCGACTCCTACCTCCCTCCCATATATTTCCCTGTCAGTTGATTGCAGGCTTTTGGCCGAATTGACTCGTCGTAGAATACAATCCGCATAAAGTTGAACGCACTCACATATGCGTGCATTAATACCCCTCGTAGATACAAAAAGTTTGTGCTAAATACTCGCTTTTGGACCGCGATTAACCCCCTATCTGCCACCTGGAGCACGCCACGTTGCCTCGCGACTAACCAGTTCGAGATCCCTCATATGAAGGCCCTCCGTGGAAGATGTGTCATATAAAAGAAAAGTAAAAGAAAAAAAATAAAATTGTAAGAAAACGAAAGATGCGAAAGAAAACAACCAAAATAGAAATGAAGGACTGGAAAGAGACAGTAAACAACAAGAGGGCTATTTCATAAAACAAGACTTTAAAAACACACCTGGTTTGGATCCTCGTACGTTGTCGGATCAACATATGGCTTGAATGCGGATGGGGCTCCTCCACTTCCGTAGTACGGTGGTGGTTGAGATGAGGAACTTCCTCCATAAGATGGTATGAGGGGTGCGTTTACTGGAAAAACTCCTTAAAAAAGTACTGCGGATATGTGCGAAAGAGAAATTTGGTGACATTCAGACATGCTAGCCATTCCAAGCAATGCAATAACGACCGATAGGGGAGCACTGAGATGTCACGTAGCATTAAGCTTTTACTTACGTTTTACGGGACGAAAGGCATCGGTGAATTGCCGGTTACCGGAAATGTAATCTGGTGTCATCGTGTCTGTAAAAAAGGAGCACAGGTCAACACGATACAAAAGCAGATAGTGCAAGCTGAGAAACATATCCAGTTTTCTGGAACTTTAGTCAGGACTCCGCATTTGTATCAAACAAGTGTCGCAAATGACTTTTTCTAAGGACTATATGGCAAGATTCACCTAACTGCGAGCCTCATTCAGTTGACGGTAATCATAGGATATACAAATTACACCGCTGAACCAAATCAACAAGCAGCGAGACTTTCGATAGTGATACACAAGCTGCTCAATCGTGTTGTGAAGGAGTATCGTTCAAAATTCAAAGAAGAACTTACCTTGCTTGTAGGTGTCGAGCACATCCAGATCACTCATCTGTTTCCGATTATGCGTTTTACGCCGACATAATACAAACAGAAATGCGAGAACGAGTACGAACAACACCATTGTCATCAGCACTACCCACCCAGGAAGTGCACCAAATGGTACCGCTCCCGGACCGTGCTGTTCTTGAACCTGTAGTGATAGCACTCTGTAGTATTAAATCACCTCAAGAAGCAAAAACTATTTACTAAACAAAAAAAAAAACAATCACTTCATATAAAGAGACAGCGGTTATCACATTCTCGACTGAAAAGCAGTATTGTCATTCGTATCTTTTTATTTACTGTCTACTAATTTCTCATAGCAGGAGAATATGTGAAATACAACCATAAAGATGCTGAGATATAACTTCTGTAATGCTGAGATATTTGCAAAACTCCGGACCGCAGGTGTCTACAGTGCGGAACGAACGCGCTATTGTCCTTTCCATGGAGTAATGCGTTCACCACCACACCATGCGGGTCCCTCGTTTCGCCTGTCTCTCAGCTAGTTCTATCTTTTGCCATCAGCAACTACGCGTCAATGGGATTGATCTGGAGAGCCCAAATCGGTATTGAACCCAGTTAAGCTAAGACTATAGTTCCAATTACAATCTTAACCTTTTTATTTACTTTTCTATTTACTATTCTTTTCGACGGCAGGGTATTTTGCGAAATATAACTTCTATAATGCTGAGATAATATAGGACCCGCATGGTGTGGTGGTGAACGCCTTACTCCCCGGAAAGGACAATAGCGCGTTCGTTCTCAATCGCAGACACCTGCGATCCGGAGTTTTGCAAATATCTCAGCATTATAGAAGTTATATTTCGCAGCATACCCTGCCGTTAAAAGGAATAGGCAATAAATAAAAAGTTTAAGACGCTGATATATTTGCAAAGATTAGACACCAAGCCCTGTAAAAAAACGAACCTATACCTGCCTTTCCGGAAACTTACCTGTTACCCACTACACCTTTAATGGCTTTGAATCTGGCCTAGGTCAAAAGTTTTGCAAATATCTTAGCATGATTATGTTGCCATTCCTTCTCCATTTTCTCATTCCCACTTTTTACATGTTTTCCAATGTAAACAGTTTACGAATGACCAAAATTAACTCTTACAATTCCACGTCCGAGCTGGTACCAAAGCGGATCACTCCACTCACCCCAGCCGCTCACGTAAACTCGCACCTGAACAATATTCGGAAACATCAATTAACGGCATACGAGCTTCCAACTAGGAATATTCAATGTTCAAATTTAACGATTCAGTACTCGATAAACACATAATTGTAAGTAGTTGACCAACCCTAAAGCGATATGGAACACTAGGATTCATGTTTAATGATGTATGATAATTGTTCTCCGTCACCGCGACGACACTTTTGCCCGTCTTCGGCTTGATCTCAATCTAAACCCAATTTTTGCGTAAACAGAATGATCTACAGAGTAAATGACACCATTGTAGTTCCACCAACTTCATATTTCATCCGTTGCGCAACAGATGGTGAGAGCCAGGCAAGAGTTATACCGTCTCTTTGCTCGCTTTCTACACGTAGACCACTCACGACATATCGAGTCAGAGGTGGAGTTCGTACATCGATTACCCGATATGCTGGTGTCTCGGTGTACTTGGATACCTTAAGAAATGGAGATACTAAGCTTCCCTTAAGTTACCGTGATGGTATAAAATTTGTGAACTGTACTCACGCTATTTTTCGCAAAAATGTTGAACGAGTACTCCGTGTCAGGTTTCAGACCCATTAGCCGAACCGTTCTTGACAACAGTTTTTTATCCGCAGGTATTGCAACAACCACAGAACAATCACCTCGTGAACATTCCCACTCGTACCATATCTCCTAAAGTTCTTCTTCCTCTTTTTTTTCAAAAAATAGAGCAATTGTGAACTTAACGACTTCACACACTTATACGAGAGATTTTCGACCAACGCTTAGTGGTAAGTGTGGTTTTTTCTACCCTACTTTTCATGTAAAAACAAAAAAAAGTGCCGACATAATAAAAAAGTTCTATCTGTAACAACAACTGTCGGCACCAAAGAGGCATTTGTTGCACGATGAAAAAAACAGCCCGGGTAATGTCAGCTCATATGAAGAGAGGCAGAACAAATGATATAAACGTCGTGCCGTACCATAGGTTGATTTTCGACCTGAGTCAGCCACACTTCTCCTCCATGCAAGACTCTCTGCGGCTGGTCTCCACCAAATAACTAAGAGGCTTACTACGAACAAAATTGTGAGTGTTTAAAAGAGGCTCTTTACCATGTGAATGAAATTTATCTATTGAGCTAACTCTGCTTAGATTATGAAAGTGTTTGGGCGAGTCAATTGGGTGTCAATTCGACTTTTCCAGGCTCTGAAGAAAGCGGAAGCACCGAAGAATCAGCAAGTGTTGAATAAATTTTGTTACTGCAAACCTCACGTATGCTCAAGAAGAAAATGCTGACTTTTTGAACAGTTTCAAGGTTAACTGAAAGTCAGTCCAATGGTATAGATGGATTTAAATTCGTAAGTCCTTAAAAACAATTCTATCCAGCAAGTACAATTTTAAACAGATATCTTTACCAACTGAAAAAGACTTTTAAAGGCTACAGATCCCTGCCAACTGCCGGCTCTTCTTATTCTACCGAGTGGTGAAAACCTAATTTTTTTTAGAAGGAAGTTCCACTAGGCTCCGAATTTTTTGAAAATTATGGTGAAATGTTAATGTGAAATAGATTCAAGACTGACACAACATTTTAGAAAAAATTATGTAACCTTACAAGTGTCACAAACAAATCAACGAATACTTCTTCTATATGACCCGTCTTCACGTCTAGCGTGCGGATCCATCACTTTTCACATTCGATTCGTTTCCTCCTTCCAACTCTTACGTGCGGCTTCGGTTGCTGATTGAGGATTTCCATTTCATCTTGAATGTTGTAGAATGCTGATGGAGCAATTTTCCCTACAGTCCTTAGAAAGCTGGTCTGGAGCGTTCCCAAATGGATTGCAGAGAGAAATTTTTCCCAGATAAGTTAGCTACCAATTTCCTGACTCCGGAGGGATGGAAGGCTTGGTTGGATCGGAGCGGAATGGAAGTAGCACCATGTTTGTGACGACGAACATCACTACCACTGTGCTATTCGCTCCTCAATAAATAAATAAATGAAACAAAAACATATATGTACGTTTATACAGCGGTAAAGCAAAGTCTCCACTAAGAATATGTTACTTTCTAAACCCATCGAATATTTTCTAACCATTGAAAAATACGTGGGAGAAGATAGAAATTATGCGACGTGGGCTACGTATTCTGTTTACCTTTTTCTAAAAAGGAACAACAAAATTCTGAGTCTTCATGTAAGTTTTGTGTCAGTTAAGGTCAGTATGATCTATAATGTTTCTCAACATTTGAAAAGTTATAATGTCTTCGACCATGTATGCATTGCGATCCATGGAAGTTGATTTGAATGTATTAACTGTTTAAAAAAGTATGGAAAAGGAAAAATTGAATGTTAGGAACTACAGAACTTCGATGACAACTAACCGTCCGGCCACCCAACGACGACGGTTCATCCCATTCCAATGTCACTGAAGACTGATCGATATCAGCAACATGAAGACGTGAAGGGTGGTTAGGGCTTTCTGAACATTAATGATTAACTCAGCATTTGATTATTAAGGCAAAGTATGACGTACGAGTGCACGGCCTATCAGCAGATTCGTTCTCGGCACGAAAGTAACCTGGACGACATGTACAGTGTAGACTACCGCTTCTTGTTGCCTCCGAGTTAGGTGGGCACTTCTGGCACGATGCATTGCCCCGGTCGCTTTTGTAATTACCCACAGGACATTCTGAAGCAATTATCAACAGCACAGAATTAACAAAATTAGTAGCTTCTTGCCAAATCATCAAGAATTTTTTTTGAATGTCCATTCATTAGTGCTGGATATCAGCCGGTAATGACTAATTATAAAACACTTTATGAGAGCAATTAATTTTGGCACTTGGGTGCAACAACGTGGGGACTCATAAAATACATGCGGGTGCGTCCTCAGATGGCAACCACCTGCTGCTTTCCATAATCTGCTCATCTGGATTAGCAGTAGACGCCGACATAAGCAAAACTCGGACATGCTCGTAGGCTAGAAGACCTATTGAAAATGAACCGTTGAACGTAATAGTCCAAAACTGCTAGAATACAGTATCGAAAAGCCGCAATCACTGTAAGGCACCACTAGGCTTACGCTTAACACATACATGTCAATTCCTAATTTCCGTTGGTGGCTGCCCCGAACGACGACTAAATTTTGCCACACACGCAATGATTAGAACTCAAATCACGCCAACCTACCGAGCCACCTCTCCTAATCTGTGGCGCTTTAACCAGACGACATATAATTGTGGTTATATTTCACATAATACCTTTCCGTAAAAAAGAAATAGTTACCGAATAAAAGTCAAACATTGTGACATCCTAGTACACCCTCGCAAACAACAGCTCCTATGGCCAATGAACAAACTCGATATGAGATGGTTCCAACCCATTTTCATTTTGGTTAATTTATCTGCTCGTCTTGTTCTACTTTTTATCTTCGAATGATAACATACCCATCGCAGTTGTTTTAGTGGACATGGATCGAGAAAATCTTAAGATTAAAACTTGCCTTGGTCACTTGCATACTAAACCAAGCGATACACTATGGGAAGAAATCGATGCATCCGCGTACAGGAAGTGTTCACAGTAATTAACGCCGGATATCAGCGAACATAACATGGAAGATGGTTTTCCAAAAACAGTAGCTCTTGGATAAGTGACAATGATCTGAGTGGTACTTTCGTCTGCGCATATCAAACAGCAAACAGACAACTGGCGCAACAAAATGATGCTGATCTAAGGATAAGCGGATTCTTCCCGAAAGAATACACAATGTCGACGCATGAAAGAGTTCGCCGATACTATAACTTTTAGAACGTTACATTCCACTTCCCTTTGCTCCCCTATCTTAATACCTTATTACTAAACACTAGCGTAAAACCACCGTAGAGTGCAAAATTGTGCTACAGATGGCCAAACCACTAATGGGAAAAGTCCACCGATTAAACTCGACACTGATCGTATTTATAGATGCTGCTTATTGGAGAGCATGTTAAAATCTACAAAAAGGAAAGTCGTCAAGCATAAGACATCAACGGCGCTAATTACGTAGATTTCTCCAATTATACAGTTAATTTCTCTCAATTGTTCAACCACTATAAGTGATAAATCATGAGACTCTCGAGGCAGGTCTCTATAAGGATCGTAAATCTCAACGATCACCTCTTCTCCTAACAAACACACCTGGCGGTATATCTTTTATGCGGGGCAATCACATCGATCTATTGCGTGCATGAGAATTAACCAAAATCGTTCCCAAACGAAGTGTAACAACGTTGATCAACGAAAATCTGCTCCCCAGTACACTTCTTAAAAGATAACGGACATGTTCAACCTTGAAATTGCTCACATAACGGACTAATCCCGATTTTTCTCATAAGCATCGACTTTCCGATAAGTTGAACAACCGAAGAGGAGTTCAGAAGTTAAAACTTATATACTAGGCTCTCCTCTATTCCATTAATGGTACATATTACCTTGATAAAGATCTTTTCACCCATAATTAAAGTTCTTTAAGATTAAAAGTGGGAGAAAAATAGAAACAAAACAACCACAATTATGCTCAGATATTTGCAAAACCGCGGACCGCAGATGTGTGCGGTACGGATCGAACTCACTATTACCCTTTCCGGCAGCTAAAAAATCTTAAAGTTTTAAAATTCCCAGTCTAAACTAGCAAGAGCGGAAAAAGTACGCTTCGTGGACTCCAGTACATCAGGGAATTGTTGCTGCAAAAGGAATTATTCGCTTTACTAGTAAAGATTTTTAAATCATAATGCTTCTTATTAAAGCAATGAAATTCACTATGAATTGAAAATAATTTAAAGTTGAGAGAGGTGATTATTTTCGCCACTTATGCATTGAAATCATTGCAGATATTCCGTTGTGAAATAAAAGATTATGCTTCATTAAACTGTCTAAATGAAGGCCAAGTATAAGCGGAGCCTTACACGAGAACTACAGCTCGGTTTAAAAAAAGAACTTAGAAATCCAAACACATATAAATAAGAACAATAATATAATAATAATGGTAACAGAAAGATAACGCAGTAAACATGACACAATCTGAGATATAAATAAGGCAACGTATATTCCAACCAACCAATTCTCTAATTCTAATCAACAACCCCTCCCAACGGTTCACCGCCTTGTGGCTGGGAGGTGTTGCTAGGTGTCGGACTGCGATGTGCAGCGGGAGGATTCGTCTCCCCGGCAGGGTCTCCCAAACTGAGGAGTCTGGCGTTTCCATTAGGAAGACTAGCTAAGAGTAAACCTATACGACGATCCACCACCGTCTTGGTATCAAAGTTGCATGGTGGTAAATCTCCCTCTGATCCACAAAGGCTGCGACTGCCTATCGTGGTGATGACTTGTGACAGACTTTGGCCAGGCTGTCCTCGGAACTCCAGGGAACCACAATGGGTTAACCAGAAAATCTCCAGAAAATGGTGATTACGCTTGGGCCTGCACAACTAGTGAAGTATCAAGTAAGTAATCAACAGCAAACCATAACTAACTCCGAGAGACGAATCGCTGTTCTTAAAATCAACCTCTTTGAAGCGACGATTATTTCATAAAAGAAGTCTGCTCGTCATAAGAGTCAGTTCAAAATCGTGTGGATCAAGATGAAACAGTAGAAACACTGACATCGCCCTCACATACATGTCACCGTTTCAGCCTTAGTCATTCACCACCGGTACTCGTGAAACTCGTCGTTGTCATTCTCTGGATAGTTAACTAACCATTCACATTCAAAATACTCTGTGGAAATGGTATGAAAAGTACTAGTGTCCAAATCATCTTCAACTATTATTATTCCAAAAAAATTACGTGATAATTTCATGAAGTTAAATATAAAGACACCATGCGCGAAAACCGTTGTTATTTCCCCGAACGAGTGAATCGCTACAGCGCTCATTTGTCACGATGGATCTTAAAGACTGCCGCCGCAACCGAAAGATGTGTATCAGACGGAAGACGATCCGTATATGTGCCTCCACATGCGTTAATCACTTTTCATATCATATTACCTACCTTCTACTTCTGACGGAAGGAAAGACGGAATCGTCTACTACCACATTTTATAAGCCGTATTCGTCTCAATAATTCTTATGTATTTTATTCGCAACCTATCTATTACTAACAAACACATAGAATTCCACTTCAAATTTTCTTAATTTTTTGTGACAAGTAAAATGAAAGCCTGCTGACATACATTTGTCCTCAAATTTTATTTCTTAACGATAAACTACATAATAAAGGCATAGACTTAAAGAAAATGTGTAGCTAGCAAGAACTATTCACAAATCTTTGAAATCATGAATACATCCCTTTTCGTAGTCATGCCAAAATCGTTTCACAAATGGATTTCGGGCGCGACTAAACCGGTAATGCTCCTGTCAACGAAAAAATCATGGAATGTAGATGACGATTAAGATAGTACGAAATTAGACCGTAACGGAATAAGAATTAAAATGGGGACAGAGTCTTCTTTCGTCTTGGTGAGCTTCACATTATACTTCTAATAGTTTCACATCTGAGCAGTAAATGCTTCAACAAAAATACCCAAAAATTTTAATCGTTGCGTGTATACAACCGACATGACTGCTATTTGAGCGTTTACACCTTGAAGTTAAGTGGATCAGCCTAGCAATTATTAGGAAGCTTAAATGTATGCTACGTACACGCTTCGCACCTGCTCGTCGCCTATACCAACCCTCTTAGGATACCGACTGGCCAACCGGGCGATTACCACCACACATCCACAAATATTCGAATTTGACCACGATGCGCGTGTCTCTCATCCTCATTTCACCATGATAATCGCATCATGCAATTAAGCTCCCATCGTCGGCTCGCAAGTTGCAAATCGCTCCCTTGCACGATGGGACGCGGCGGTTGATCACAAGAAATGAGGCGTAAGGCCACAAATGAGACATGTTTACTACAACTAATTTTATAAGTAAAATTTTCAACATTAAATGGATATCAAGAAAATACGGATTCCTTATGAGTAAAGACATTTGGTAATAATGAAATCGAACACTATTTTACAATCGTTCGCCACCGCTCAAGGACTTTATATTGGGCAGCATAATATTTTTTTACAAAGGAAAGTACTAGTTGCAACAAAAAACATTCTTCTAATGAGTGCGATATCAAACTGGAACCAAAACAAGGCGCAGGAAACCTAGCCTACATGCTAACATGGAAAACATTTTGTTCGAAAACCCTAAGTTAAAACGAACCCTTGTCCACCAAGAAACAAACGCTATGTGCTTCACGCATCACTAAACCAACGATTACTACCCCCTAGCGACAGTTGTATAATCAAGCCAAGCGGCGTGTTTCTTGAGCCGCTCTAATTAGTCGTTGCTTTATGGTGATCTCCGTATGTTGTGATGAACGCCTTCCCTTTGGATCCGCCGTGCGACCGGCTTCAATTAGGCAAGGAAGACGCAACCCATCTCCGATGACCTCGGTGGTTGAGTCCATTACCATACCAAAAAGTACTTGCTCGCCATGATTATCACATTTCCTCATTTGAATAGACATCATCGTAGTGACCTTTCTACACAGGCCGCCAAAGTGCCGAATATACGCATTACTCATCGAAACCATAATACCTTATTACCTGCCACGACAACAGTATTAGAGAAGGCCGTCAACAGGCCATTTCCTCCAGAGAGGGTCACCTATCCCATACAGCATACGAAACAAACAAAAATGAAACCATTTAATCTCGAAAAAAAAATTACCAATACACTTATTCTCTCCAATGAAAAGATCGCTAGTATAACCAGGCTTGCAGGCACATTCACCAATGAGATGATTCCATCTTCCAGATGAAGTACAGAAACCAGTCGGTGCTTCTAAAACACATATAAATAAGAAAAAGATATGTATTCAGTTTTACCTGCTTAGGTTACGAAAGTGTTTGGCTGAGCAAATTCCATGTCAAATTGACCTTTCCAGGTTATGACGATGGCGAAACTGCTGAAACGTCCCCCCCTTGTGAATTAATAAATGCTATAATAACAACCTCGTGTTTGCTCATCAAGGAAACGGTTAAGAAAAAGATAAGATTTACTAGGAAACAATCGAAAACATACACCGACAAAGAAATGGGATAAAACTATACGTACCACTCTGAACAGGCATCGCATTCGTAACGCATTTGCCAGTAACTTTCACCATTTCTTCACGAGAACTTGATGTCACAGTTACTGGGTACTTGGTGAATTTTGTGACAGTCGCATCACACACTATGTAGTAGACCTAGAAAAGAGAAAACTTGGGCACTGATAGTACTACAGCCCATTTTTACCAATTACTCTAATGTCATGAAGTGCTTATCTTGCAGATAGGTAATTCTTAGTTTTTAAGAACATTAAGGAGGGATATTTGTAATCCCGAGGTCAATCCACTACCCTATCCCAGTATTAATGACCGAGTACGTATGCAACGATTATGAGCACACTTGTCAATCAAGCCACCATTGTTGCATTATAGTGGCATTTCTACTATACATCACTTCTGGCTAGTTATTTAACATCAGTAATCTCCATAAAACAAGACATCCCTTAGAAATACCAGGAATACCATGTGCATGAGTACTAACTTGTATTTACGCAAAAATATGACAATAACCTTTGCAAAATTCACGAACCATTCAAATCATCAGGTTACCTCCAAATTATGTTTATATATACAGGTATGTATATATATATATATATATGTATACATATATATGTATATATATACATATATATGTATATATATACATATACGTCACATATACAATGCCAACTTGCGTTCCATAACTATGAAGACATTCCTTTCCGTTTACCGTCTGCACTACTTCCCCACAACAGTCCTGGTTGACTCAACTTTTCATTTTTTAAAATTCCCCTTGCTTTTTGCCTTTATTTTCTTACGTGGTCCTACGTAATATACTGTGTGGACGCTACTTCTCGCATTCGCTTCTTTTCATCGCATCCATCATCCACGCATTTGCGCGTGCATTCAACTGCTAGTTGAAAAGTTTTAATCTTCACCATAAAATCTCGTTGAATGTTGGTCGTCGATTCTCCACAGAGTCCTGGGATTGCCGTAGCAAAGCGCCATTCACAGACTTACGCCACAGGCATAAGGAAACTCGTGTGCATTGGAGAGAGTTTTCCACAGAGAAGCTGCAAATCTATCGAACCGCGGGTAATTAGACTTTTTTTTGGCCAGCGTAGTCGATCCAGAGCGGACGCTAATTGATTGCACGGCATTTCTAAGCGCTGCGTCCGTTGCTTTAATTTCTCACATTGCATAAATATATTCAATGTCTTATACATGAAAAAATCAACAACAAAGATTCTTGAAAACTGTACATCCAATATGGTTAACTGGAATATAAATAGTTGTTGTAAATCCTTAGTTATTCCAAGGATCATATAGCAGAATGAGGGTTAGGAGTGCCCTGTGATGCACGCACGCCCTTTTTGGTTCGTCCCCTCACCCCGGAGTCCCAATCAGCAAACTGGTATCTAATTTGTTCTGAAAGATAAAAAATAATGGATTGATACATGGGCAGATTACCACTATGTAGGTCACAAAATAAGCACATCACTCAGTGGTGTCGGGATTAACGGGGAATCTCTAACGTCGAATACTATTACTACAGATTTAAGTGAAGAACTAAAATATTATTAAATTTGCCAATTTAGACCCAAAATTTAAGCCTGATGTATTCTACGCCGGTCGGCCATGTTCTCAAGAGCATGATGCCCTCTCTATACAGCAAAGCGACCGCGAACGACGTATATCACGACCGTAGTCGGACGCCACGAAAACGGGAAGCGAGACGAGAAAGGAACACGGAGATTACTGACTGCGCCACTACTTCTACATATATGTCAATCACACTCACCCCATTACGTATGATGTAAATACGCACTGCTTCCAAAGGAAACCAGCTGAATAATATCTTGCCTCTTGCGACTGACATACCTTTTAGTCATATTCCGAAAAACGAATTCCCAAAAACTAAAACTATCTAGTTGGATAGAAGAATTTCTAATTTGTAACAAAAAATAAACTAAGCCAAGTAAAAAACAAAATCGTAGGCAGTACTATGCACCAAATTTCTTACTCAAGTAATCCAACGTAACTAAGTTAGCAGACCATTGCGGTTTTCTTGTCTTTTCATAAATAGTAAATAGTAAACGCAATTAATTTAGCACTTCGAGTTTAGCATTCCAGTTCTCCACTAACCTTTAATTTCTTCCTATGAACCGTATTTATTTGCGTTATTTAACAGATTTCCTCCCCTTGAAGTAAACACAAGTACCAAATAAACCTTAGAACATATTATTTGACAGGAGTGTAGGAATTCACATCGGGAAAATGGGCTCCATTTAACGAACGACCTCGAGCCACAAGAAAACATCGATTGAGATTCACACCGTAACTATAGGGTAGAAATGTGTTTTATCACAAAGATTTCCCGCCGATCGCAACAATAACAATTGAGGTTAAGTTGCGCAATTCGATTATACCCGTATGCAATGCAATGTTCCAGGAAACGAGATAATGATTGGTCAACTCAAATAGCAAAGACCCTGGCTTTCTTAGCGGTCACCAGCCTTACCAAAGACACACAGATGTACACGATCTTGTGGCGTATGTAGCGTTGCTAATCCGCATTTATTATTGTCCTGAACCCATTACAGTATTCATTACTGTTCAGATTGTTTGATGTTCGTGCAGTGTTGCAATAAATGAGACGCTCGTAAATATACATTCAAAACGTCGCTTCACAGGCGACATATGACAAGACGTGCACGACATCGAACAACATCACCCACCGAATCCATGACGACCTCCTTGCGCCGTTTTATTGTCATAACCCGCAATAAAACCTCATGGTTCAGCATGCCGTATCAAGAAACCACGACTGGATATAACTCAGGGTTTTCACCAATGTCATGAGAAAAGGTTTGTTCTAGAAGAAGCAAACAGCAAAACTACCATGCTTTACACGTTATTCTAAACATGTCTTTTAAACTCTTCTCGAATGCTGTTTCCCAACGCAACGAAACAACCTTTTGAAACCGACAAGTGATGGTAAACAGGTAGCTATTCGAGACGTAATCTATCGACGTTTAGGGGAAGAACTTCGACTATTTTTGGAAAACTAGCCTTTTTAGCGCATAATTTAGGAACATAAACAGACACATTGAGAGTTTTTGAAGTTTTTCATAGCCAAAAAGTACGTTAAATCTGTACACATATCTATTACACCGACTCATTCTTCTATCTTGGGAATTTCTATCCATACAGTTCTAAACTTATCACCTGTTCACACAAACGTAAAAACTGTTAAGTGAACGGTCAACACGCCCTAACAGCAGGTGAGCAATGTCACTACCACCTGTTGACATTCCGTAATGTTTTCGGATACCACGAGTACGATGACAACTAAGTCGAAACACATGACAGATTCCCAAGAGACTATATGTTTGACGTAACTATACAGATGTAAAATCTGTAGAACTCACCAATATTATGTAATTGTAGAGACTTGAAAATTGGAGAACAAATATTCGAATATGTAATATTTGACGAAGATGATAAAAATGGAACAAATAGGCGCATTTACGCGAAAAACCATCCACGGTCACTCGCTTTACCACAATTCTTTTCTGGCCCTGGCCTGAGAAAACGCTTCGTCAAACAAGCGATCTGGTATATACTCGAAGGTTGACCCTTTGCATCAGGAAAGCCGTCAGCAAACATCCGCCACAACGCACCTCGCGCTCCCACTACGAAGGTGTTAAATGACCCCCTAATGAATAGAACACTCCACACCAAACAGCTCTGAACAACAAACCACACGAACGTAGGTCACTGAGAGCGAGTGAATACTGCCTCATCTGGTTGTTCTTCACCTGTCACACATGTAAATACGTATAGACCAAACAATAGCAACCACTGCTACTACTATTAAGGTCTAGTGGCCTCCCGTAGGCGATTTCTACCTCAAATGTCTGCATTGAGCTTCCAATTAATCACAGTTCTATCCACAGGACCTCAACAGCACGTTGTTTTCATCACTTTTCATAACAACTGTACCACTAAGAACCTCTTCATGCAACGATTCATTGTTTGACATTGAAACAATAAACCATTTCAAAACGGCAAGCACTTATTTTCATTCAAAATTCACCTTTCCCAGATAAAGTAAATCTTACTGGTCAAGAACGTTGGCCTAAACGCGAAGGTGAACCCAAATTTAAGTAGCGAATCTATGGAAAGAATGGGTAACCCCGTATTCCAATCGCAATACACGTCATCCAATTCACTTCCATCACGTCGCGCCTGGTAATCTCCAACCCAATTTCATTAGGCAACATGCACACGAAATGTGCCCTAAAATGAAACATCCACCCATCAAACAGCAATAAAACCCAAGAAGCGTGCCTAAATACATATACTCCTCTGCTTCGAGAATACCTGTGAATCTAAGAGACATCTTTCGATACAGGCATAAATCTTCCGAAATCTCGTCCATGCCCACATTTGCATAAATCAGTTTCCTCAGTCAACTCGCTGTCAATCAATCCATTAAATCCTTCGAGAAAAACATTCCTTAACGTTAAGGGAGGTGTTACATAGTAATTTTAAGAGACCATCGAACGCACTCGACATTAGAGAGTGTTTAGATGCATCGCTTTGTTGCCACTTAGAAATTATATTCTTATCCTTAAGCGACAAAAGATGGCAAAAGTTTATCAACAATGGCTTGGTATTCCAAAGAAAACATAACGTGGGAAGATACAGAGCGATTGAGGAATATTCGCAATCCACTTTGCCTCGATACGGACCAAAGATATACCCGAATAGACGGAACGACTCCGTACTGATTAAGGACACTGATCTCATAATAAAATGCGCACGGTCGATTAGGAATGATATCCCGCCATTTAAATAGTTCCTTAGTGCAGTACTCTTCAAATTGACAACGAAGAAATCAGAATTATTGAGCCACTCACAGTAATAGTAAGTAATGAGACACAGACGCCGTTCTCTTCGAAACCGAATCGGACGAATTCCGTTGATGGGTGTAGAGTAACTGATTGAGTTGTCTCAGATATCTCGGCGGTGGTATCCTTGGTGAGTACCGAAACGGGTGACCTTGAAAAACATGTGTAAACAGTAGTTATGGTAAAATTTCTAGAAAATCACAAACCAAGTTGAGATCGTTCTGTTGAAAGTTTCCTTATCAACATCGTTTACTTTGCGATTGTACTGCTTCACATATAGGTTGAACGTCTCTTTGCATGACTTCGGATCGTGGTATTGATCACAGGATCGTGTGTTGTATAAAACGTTTATGTACAAGCTAAATAAATCATAACGTGTTACTTAACACAGCCGATTGATAACGAAATATATGAAAGCAAATCGTGGCTAAGATAGAAAATTGTCTTTTAGATATAATGCTACGAAGAAGTGACTTACATGTTAGCTGATTCCCGTGGTATCAATGGAGTGAAAACCCAGTTTCCAGGATTAGCAACGTGGAAACTACATGCAACGTAAGCACGCTCATTCGATTTCTCGTCTAAACCACGCCAAGACTCTTCCGTCCACTGAAACAAGTAATTAACTGATAATCTGAAGATACATCTTACATCGAATTCTTCAGTAAAGATCCGAATACGGTTATGAAGAAGAGTCTATAAATTCGAAGACCTCAAATGTTAGGAAAATTCCATTAAATCTGCTTACTTAAAACAACAATCTTTCGCATATTTTCCAACTACAACTTCAACGTGCTCACAATGTACGGGGGAGTTTTCAAAATAGGTAGACCCAAGAAATTGGCCCATCTCTTGTACCACATGAAACCATGTGTTGCACCACGAGAAGCAATTTATCACATACTTTGAACAAGATATCTTCCTCAACACTAGTAGAACGCTAGGTCGTGTTTTGTAGCAATGAATTCCCTGCTCTAGCACGGCTCCCATGTCCACTTAGGCAGCAGCCCGGTCTCGGCGTTATCTCATACTACAATCTCGTCGTCCTCGACTACGCTGCACATCCTCTTTCGCTCCTACATTTTAGGCATTCCCACTCAGCTCATTACGACATAACCTCATCTTACACACTACACATACCATCTCCCATCAATCTTAACCTTCTTGGAATGAAAACAGAAAACGGACGAAATGAAAGTTCACCTAAGATGGACTTATTAATGGGTTGTACTAGAAAAAAACCCTCCTTACTAAAATAATAAACTGGACAGAATACCCATCTTAACGGCCATTTAAATGTCACTTTGTTGATGAAGCTTAAAGCGGTCATAAATATCGGCTACTCAGAAAACAACCAAGCGCTAAGTGGTCATATGCAATTCGGAAACCGTTATTGGTCAAATATTTTCTCTCAGTTATGGGTCGACCACAGCGCGTATCGATGGCTCACCCCCACTAATTGAATTTCAACGTCTTCTATTAGCGTTCCTAATTTAGAAAATCATTAGATAAAGATTAAATAAGATTATAGAGAGCAATGCAGTTGCTGTTCATCGCCTCAAGCTTTAACCTAATCAACTTCAAGGAGCACAGCGATGCAAACGGGCTGAGCATTTAATGTTTATTTGATGGATTAGCACTAAGGCAAAAGAGTATAAAGCAAAAGTGTACACAACTTGATATAGAGGCGCGAAGACAGGTTTGCGCATGTGAACTGTGAGCACGGAAAATTCTTTGGACAATAAACTTCAGTGGCGATATGAGATGGAATCCTACAAAATCACCTCAAGCTTCCCCAACCCGAAAGTACTGGGCCGGCTCGTCCCAATGGACCTTACCTTCGAGTGTTACTTCCTATTGTGTCCTTAATCGGCGCCGTTTCTCATAAAATCTACGCCAAGGTGAAACACATCTTTTGGAAGATCGAGAATGATACCAAAAACATACAGCGTGGAGTATTGAAAGAGATTTTGATAATATAAAAATGTTTTAGAACTCTTCACCATGATTTAGACCTAGGGATAAATTAAGGAACAAAGTTCAGTACATTGTACCCATCTGTCACGACGACTCTATACGTCACATCCAGTATTCAATAAAACAACTTAGACTCAGATCGAGGAGGAAAAAACGACCAAACTGCTTAGAAAGAACAGGGCAACAAAAGGGCACCTGGACTGTGCGACATACTGGCGCCAGCAAAATGACTGCCTCGCTAATTAAAAAGTGCAAGGATCAAGCCACTGATAGTCTGACACGAAAGGTGAACGAAAAGGAATCCAGGAAACTATTATGTAGTAGAAAACTCGTGAAATTAAACCGCAAAATCTTTGAGAAAAAGCAATTTCAGCACATTTAACTTCCGGTTTGGCCCGATAAATTAGACAGGATCAGAAATAAACTTTTGGATATCTTCTTCTCAGTAGCAACCATATAATAAAAAACATGCAGAATAAAAGATATGGTACTTAAACAGTAGATTAAATGGCAAATAAACCAGTTATATCAGCTATAGCTTCTAAATCGCATCGCCACAGTACGTGCAGCTGGCGACCTTAGAGATGACCAGAAGCGTGAAATCTGAACCATCATCAGCTCAATGGCCTCAATGACCATCTTGACCGTGGAGTGCGATGAACTGACTCGAGAGTGATTCAAACACTTTTACCTTCAACGGCACAAGCAACCTGATTCTAGGTGTTGAGCGACACATGTTCTTGAAAACTTTTGTTATGGAAACATTGTTAAATTTCAAAGCCCACATCTCAGTAGCATAACATAGCCCTTGGAGAACCGTTGAATCAAAAAGGTTAGCGCGGATTTTCGGGCTCCTTTAGTTGGTTGGTGGTTTCCCTGAGAGGCCTAAATGCGGCCTAAGTGCAAATGATCATATTGCGCTACTAAGCTTAACTTGTTAAGTAAGAACATTGGTGGGATATGGTAACGAAACAGATACGAAACCACCATAACGAAGGGATGAAATGAATGAAAAAAGAAAGAAAACGAAAGTGTAGAACCATAAAATATACTTAAAATGTTATTTAGTGTTTCTGAAAGACACACGCATTCGTCATAACACACAGAAAACTGAATCAAAAAAAAAATGATGCTAGAAAAATTGGTACAAAGAAAAATTGATGCTAGAAAAATTGGTACAAAGAAAAATTGATGCTAGGAAAATTGGAATCGAACAAAAAATGTCAATCACTCACGCCATCCGTATCTCCTCGTAAAGATAACTGATCCCACTTCAGATCCGTTGTCGCAGACCTCGTATCCATCAAAATCACTAAAATAGCCATATACGATGAAAGACATTTTATTAGCATTTCTAAGCACTTTCAGAGCTACATCGAGCTAGGATTTGGCAAGAAATCAATTTTGTAGCTGTGACATATTCTTGTGATTCGTATGGTGGGTATGCAACGTCAAATCACTTGGACGTTTCCATAAAATGCCGTACCGACACTTGACATAGTGCGGTCACTTGCCAGGATAGTCGAGACAATAGCGAGACGCTAATAGCTTCACACTTTTCTTCTTTCGAAAATTACGATTAGGGACAACGCCACGCAATTGCAAATCTATTTACTCATCAGAAGCCTGGCGTTCTCTACATTGGACTATGCAGCAGTCAGTGAGATAAAAGTGGCAATGCGAGAACTCCAAAACATCATAGGTTAATAGGTTTGTTTACCTGTGGTGAAATATCTAACGGAAACATGTTACATTTTGGATGGTAGTGAAGCCCTTGAAGTGATATAACTCTCTGGTTTACTGACTTAACATACACAAAAACTATTTGAGCAACTAAACCATCGTTATCATCGAGAATTCTTAACTGTAAAGAATTGTGTTTCGCCATTCATACAAGGAATTCGGCGGCAGCAGAACAGCAATAAGTAAAGCAATTTTTGCAGAACATTTATTTGCATTTCGTAGGAATTCAAGTCCGATACCCGAGGAACAAGTAAGAATTCTCGGTCAACACCGAGAAAACTAGCGTTCTGGGCTCCTTGGGCAAAACAAATCTCAACACTATATAGAAGTCCTGTTCGAAAAATCTATTCAATCAACCACCGGTAGTCGATTCTCATTATGCATAACCAAGAATTTACTACTTCCGAAACAAAAGTGCTCAGACATCGGTGGTTTTTACTATTCTAACACATGGTATCACTCTCACAGTATAACAAGGTACTTAACGACAAGGCCTTAGACGACATATCAACGATGATGCACGTCCAATTCGGATCTCTGTTGCACCTCTGAACCTCGTCACATTCTCAGTGACTGACCAATCGGCCTATCTAAAGCCCCTACATTTTCCTCAGTTGAGGTTATGAATCGTCATCAAACCAAGCACCTCAAATGTCTTAAGCTCACACCCATCAGGATTGCTGCCTCTTCTAGAACGGATTGGGGAAAAGACGGAACATAAACGTTTGTCCCTTTCATCGAAATTGTAGTATTGAACTTTACATGAGACCGATAATATCGGCAATACGAAGAACGTTGTGGATGGTTGGCGTGGCCGATTAGTGAAGCGATTACGTAAAGTGAAGTGACAACTACTATATTTGGCTCATGCTCACGTTCTACGCCGGCTAACCTTTTCATGTTGATCAACACCATGAGATGGTCAACCTTACTCATATGCCACAAACATTGCGGAGCGTATTCACTGTGATCGATCAAACCACATTGCTAAAGAAATCCCACTTTCACATTCAAAATCAGTAGCAATACATCTATATGTATTATTATGTACAACATTATTGTACATTATTCTTAATGGTCATAAGTCAAAGTCAAGGTCGTTCGATTTGTACAGAAAATTCTAGAGAAACCATAAAAGAAGGGCATTTAAAACTGTTCATATATACACATGTATATATATGTTCGCATATTTACCATATATGTGCATATATATATGTATATACATACGTATATACGTATACATATGCATATACTTACTTAGATACTCGGATAGCCCATCTTCACTGGATGTGTGGGCCCCAGCATAACCTCCACTTTTTCGGAGTTTTGCTGGTTTAGCTACCGTGGTGCCCTGAAGTCCTGAGGTCAGTCTAGTCAAAGTCTGCCCCACGTAGACACCACCACAGGTAGTCATCGCCCTTGTGGATCAGAAGGTTTGCCACCATGCGAATAGTTTGGTACCAGGCATAAAGTATGAGAGCTAATTAATCAAGCCCACCGTAAAGTTTAATGTTTCCATTGTTGTATCATAAAATGCAATTAGAACAAGAAATAGTGTCTTCTTGAAGATTAAAATTTAAACCTAGTAGAATAACAAGTGAATTTTTGTCCAAAAGAATCTCACCTCTGTTCTTCTCGCGAAAAATTCGATCCTGCTAACACCGCGAAAGTCACTCATTTCTCAATTAAAACTCTTTTTTAAAAACAAAAATGGGTTGCTCATTATTTGCAGGAAATCTTCTCCACCACTCACACTGATAGGAACAAAAACGTAGAAGTTCTCAAGATCGGCTTTCCATTAGTCTCGGCATTGGATTATAAATGTGTCGTCATCTTTTTCAGCAATTGCGAGGTTGTTAATACAGCATACGTTTACCTCTGTACAAAAAATAACACATACAGCGCAACGGTGGCTTCAAGGGTTAAAGGTACCCTTCCAGACTCTGAAGACGGGGACACTGCCGAAACGTCAGCAACCATTGTGTTGTGTGGGTTATTTTTTCTAGAGATGAAGACGTGTTCTGTATAAAAACATTGACTACTGAGAAAGATAATGACACTTCTAAAGATGAAAAACATTTAACCCCTATCTTTAAGCAGATAAAAGCATAAAATGCAAATAATGGCTAGAATATGTGTGTGCGTGGAACCGGTGTCAGGAAATTAGTATGCCTAATAACTGGGTTTGTCATCTGAGGTCGCGCACTAATGCATTCATTCTTTTGTCTTCATCTCATTTCTCGGCTCTCCGGCAACCATTCCCACATCATGAACCTGGAAGAAATCTTGCTGGGAGCTCTCTGTGGCCCTCGCTGCTCATTAAAAAATGTGCTGCCCTCGTAGGAGACCCCGTAACTGAGATATGTATTGATTAACAGTAAAGTTTTTGACGGATTAAGTGCTCTGCATAGGTTTAGTACAACTCGTTTTCGTTACTAAAACTTTACTTCAAAGGCCAGGAAAAAAGAAATGCTGGGATCATCGAACTTTTTTGCCGTTCCTATTGAGAAATGATATATCGCCCATGTTATATAACAATGTTCGGAGTCATCAACATGTTTTAAATTCTTGGGTTTACAAGAGCTTGATAAAGAACTTTTATTCGGCTAATGTTTCGACATCTTCGTCTTTATCAGAGGACTCGGACCATCGACTCGGATCATAGGCTCTGATGAAGACGAATACGTCGAAACGTCAATTGAGTGACAGTTGCTTATCAACCTCATGTAAGCTCAACAAATTAAACACATGCTGATTGTTTTAATACCGAGGTTAAACGATGATCGATTTGAAAAAAGTTCAGAGTTTCTATACTTACGTGCTCTGAACACTTTTAGATCTATAACAATGAACTTAACATCCGTTGTGTGCGCTATCGCCAGCGCCATCCATCCTATTTTACACACCTGGTTGAGGTGTGAGCGACAGTTGCGGCCTATCGAATATCAATCGCTAATCAAAATCTCTCAAATACCTAATCGCAAACAGTTATACCCACAATCCACCAGGAATACAGGAAGGATTAGAATTCCCTACCCTATTCCCACATCATATCCCATCGTACCACCTTTCAAAAGAGAGCTAGGGAAGGCACTGAAAGCGTGGAATTTGACAAGGATCTAAGGAACACAATAGCAAATAACTATCACTGGTTACTATAGAGTGCTATAGCTGAAAAAGGCAGTTCTCTCAAACGTCAATCTCTCTGATAGACCCTTGACGAGACAGTAACAAGCTAATGTGTAAATAGGTTGCGATTACGCAATTAACTACAGCATGGTCATATTGACTGAATGTATTGGAATAGGTCAAGTAAAAGAAAAGAATAATCACGTCAAATGAAAAAAACGTAGGCATAGAACAATATATACCTTGTGAAGCGGAGCCGAGAAGGCACATAGAGGGCAGCAGGCTTAAAAGCCCCAATGGCCTCATATTTGAGCGGTTTAAAGCCCTAGGAATCAATATCGATGTTGTTGGAAAACTAGCAGTACTGCATACCCGGTACTAAGAGCAGCAATGATGCTAGAAGAATGGAATAGCCGCTTGCTTAAGTGAATCGTTTCTGAAAAAGCAAGACCAAATTGGACAGTTTGAAGATCTTCACTTAAGACCGTATAGACACGACATACGAACGAGCCATAAAAAGTGGAAAAATGTTCGAAACGATAACGAGATAACCGCAATGGGGGTCCGTTCCCGACACATGATAGGGGTCTTTCCTAAACAAGACGGACCAGGGCGGAGACGGCGATGGGTCACGACGACACGCCCATCGAACAACACTAGCGGCTAAGGTTGCGATTCATTAGGATGCAAATAAGGGTTCCGAAAATGCTGTGAGAGTCAACGACTAACACTTGGTGGTTAACACTGGACGGGATTGGAAAAAATGTAAAGTATATAAATACTATCAAATGAATCCAATGGAACCACTGGACTACAATTGAGTGATACAGGTGATACCAAAAGAATCTTCACGAGCATGCGGATTCCCTCTAAAGCTGCTCGTTGAGAAATTTCACCAAAATAGGACATCGTTAAAGAAGAACCAGAAAAAAGACTGGAAAGCAGCTTGTAATCAATAACAAATCATATTATTCATATCCAACAAACATTTAAACGTTCAGAAAGTTCCGGAAAAATCACGGATTCAGGAACTGAAAATTACTTCAGTTACAAAAACTGAAACGATTGCAAAATGCTGCTCCTTCATAGAGGAAGAACTAGAGAAAGCCATCGATGATATTAGAGAAAACGAGGAGAAAAATATTAAAGAAACTTTACAAAGTCACTGGAAGTCACACGAAGTGAACGAGAGGAAGACGTGAAAACAGTAGGAAGAAAGAAATCTTCTCACAATAACCACGACTACGACGACAGTTAAGCAACCAGGAAGAAAATAAATCGAACCGAAGATAAGTAGAAAATAGAAAATTGCAAAACTGTGAGAGACCAGTCGACATTCAATGCTTTTGGCAGAAGAATTCGACCGCTTACACGCACTTGACATGTAGCACTGCGACTTTTTTCACTTCGTGTTACTTTTTTTCTGAAAATTCCTATAGCACTACTTGTACAGTGATTGTGGCTCACTGTACGCGATTTG